TTCCACTGTTCAAATTTTTTTAAATTCTAAGTTAAAAGAATGGAGATAAAGGGTGGTACGTGCGGTTTGAAAACTTTTCCCCAAAATATATAAAAATAACATTATTTGTAGATTACAAAGAACTCGATATGTGTGAAAAAAGAGTTAAAACAAAAAAATAAAAATGAATTAAATTTTTTATAATTTAAATAGTCTTTTAATCTCAGTCATCAAATATGTGACCAATAAAAATTAAGAAACCTGACTATGGATTAATAAGTTTTCTTAACCTCAAATCCTCAATCCTCAATTCCTCATACAGCTGAGAAAGAAAGAAAAAAAAAAGCTAATTCAACATAGAGCATGAACATATACCATGTTCTATCTCCTCCATGTGATATTGCCGTATTGCAAAGTACATTGCAAGAAATAAAACTTTCATGTTTCCAATCCACTGGCACATCCGTGTCCATCCATTTACGGTTGTTAAAACAATTTTTACTGGGACTCATAAAAAAATAATTTTCAGTGGGAAGTCAATTCTCGAAAGATTTTTTTTAGTTGCTTCAAAATATTTTGTACTAACGAAGTTTGGTGGACACTTATATACAATTATACAGTGCCTTATATTCCGGTATGTTATTTGAATTGTACCATAACAATAATCCCCTTTAGACAGTGATCTCAAACTTTGTGTCTTCCTCTCATAGATTATGTTGATATGCCAGATCACCTTGTATAGACAATCTTTTGGCACAAGGAGTTACCAAATGCATATCTTCATTAGATCTGCCAAACATGCACATATCTCAAATCTTGAGGTCACAGGACGAGGTTTCGCCAAACTGAAGTCCAACACCTTGGATCCAAACTCCAAAATCAGGTTTTGATGCTAATTGTTGAAACCATAAGTCTATTAGTTTGATATTGATCCCTTTTGACCAAACCTGCACGAATTTAACTATGGGTTCCTTACAAAAAAACCTCTTACTAATGAAATTCGGTGGATACTTATATATTGTATTTCCAACGTAGTATTTTAAGTGGGCACAGTAAATCCAGATCTAAAGTTAGTGAATTCAAAATATTTTATTTTACATAGTTTTCTTAATTGACTCTTATCTTCTTCGTTTTAACTTGGATTTCAATTTTTTTTATGCACAGATCGAACGAGTTCGTTGTGCTCTACAAAATGAGATCAATTTTCAATATTTTTAGAGAATTTTTTTCATACCTCTCGTTACCTACTCCATACCATATGGTATCTCCTTCGTTTTTAAGCCATTTTTGAAAATATTTGCACAGAAGGAACGAGTTCATCATGATCTATTGGATCTACAAATTTCTGGGTGAAAAAATAAAAGACCAAAAAATACCATACTATACCCCCTTGGTATGAGGGTGGTAACTTATGGTACACGATGATGAAAGTCGTAAATGACAGTTAGTATACTCCTACTATGATATATTCAACCATCCTACAGTCTTGGTATGTTCATACCACCATGGTACGCTTTCATACCATATGATATGCTCTTATTTAATACCAGTCAATACCATATGATATAGACTCGTAAAAAATGCCTCAATTTTTTTTTGTTCTAAAAATATATCAAAGTGGATATAATTTTGAAAAACACAATTAATCTGATTTATCTGTGCAATTTTTTTTAATTCTGACTTAAAATGAGAGAGTAATCGTTCGTCAAAGATTAAAGGAGAAAAAAATTAAAGACTTTCCATAAGAGAGAGGATGCTGAAATCACCCTAATGGCTCAAGATAGGGTGAGTAACCTTAGGGGGACAGGTTATGGTGATTACTATTCTATAGTAATCACCGTGGTTACTAAGGACAAATTGGGTATAACAAAAAATTTATTAATAATCTTTTTTAATAAATTACATTTTAGGAAATTACATAAATATATTAAATACAATTTTTCTCTCTCTTTCTCTCACTTCCACAATTTTTCAGCTAGATCTCTCTTCCTTCTTTTTCTCAATCTTTCCTTGATTTCGTTCATCCAAACTAATACCGCTGCAACAACAAAACAATAAATCAATACCAATCCATTAAAAAAATACTACCATTGTACAAAACATCAATACCGTTCAAGAAATAAAAACACTACCATTTCACAAAACATCAATACCATTGCAGATTTAATCACTACCAATGCGACAAAATCAATACCAATGTAACAAAATCAATACCAATGCGACAAAATCAATACCAATGCGACAAAAATAATACCAATGCGACAAAAACAATACCAATACGACTAAGATTCCAAATTGATGTCTACCATTTTTCAAGAAATAAAAACACTACCATTTCACAAAACAATACCATTCAAGAAATAAAAACACTACCATTTCACAAAACATCAATACCATTGCAGATTTAATCATTACCAATGCGACAAAATCAATACCAATGTAACAAAATCAATACCAATGCGACAAAATCAATACCAATGCGACAAAAACAATAACAATACGACTAAGATTCCAAATTGATGTCTACCCTCCAACCCCATGCACTCCCTTTTTCCCAGAAACCAAACACATAATTCAGGGGGGAAGAAACTAGGAAATAAGGGTAAAGGACGATGGCGCCAACACACAGGAATTAGAAAGCGGCCAGCACCACTAGAGTCTCCAGAGAAAGAACAAATAGCAATCACAGAAAACCAAGAAAGAGAGACAAAAAGGAGGCGGAGAGACCTTTGTGATACGGAGGTAGTGTCGACGTAATTGGGAGGACGGACGGGGGCCTTGTAAGCAGCCGCCGCCTGACGGCGGTGCTGAGGGGAGTTAAGCAAACCCTAAGCCATCGTCGGGGAGGGTGAGAGCTTGCGGCGGCTACGGCGAGTTTGGTTGTAGAAGTAGGGTTAGAGTATAATATATAGAATAATCAAGTGTGGTTCTTTTTTTTTTTCTTTCAAAATTATCCTGATGCAATCTTAACCATAAGATTAAAAAAGAGGAAAGAGAAGAAAATAAATGGTGGATACTGATGTAGCCACGGTGGCTACTAGAGATTCAGTTTCCACTCTAACGCATTCCTAACCTTAGGGTGAGTAACAATGAGTAACCAAATCTGGACCATTCTTTTAAGTGACTGCAGATCTAAGGGTGGAGAATAAAAAAATTTATTTTCTCTAGTTTTCTTAATTGGATCATATCTTCTTCATTCTAACTCGGATTTCAATTTTTTTTGCACAGATGAAACGAGTTCGTTGTGCTCTACAAAATGATATCCATTTTCAATATTTTTTGAGAAAATTGTTTTTCATCCCTCTCGTTACCAACTCCATACCATTTGGTATCTCCTTCGTTGTTTAGTCATTTTCGGAAATTTTTGCATAAAAGGAACGATTTAATCATGATATATTGGATTTCAAAATTTTCTGGGGGAAAAAATTTCTAACCTCTCGTTACCAACTCCATACCATACTATACCATCCTGGTATGAGGTGGTATTTTTCATACCATATGGTATGCTGTTATTTAATACCATATGGTATTGACTGGTATTAAATAGCAGCATATGGTATTGACTAGTATTTTTCATACCATATGGTATGTTGTTATTTAATACCAATAAATACCATATGGTATAGACTGGTAATAACTGACAATTTTTTTTTTGTTCCAAAAAATATCAAAGTGAATATCATTTTGAAAAGCACAATTAATCCGATCTAACTGTGCAAAAAAAAATTAAATTCCGAGTTAAAACGAGTGAGAAATCGTCCGTTAAAGATTAAGGGAAATAAAATTAATGATTTTTCTAGGAGACAGAAAGAGGGGCTGATGTGGCAGATTCTTATTGGGTTATGCATGGGGTTACTCACCACGAGATTACTCACCAGATCTGCTCCCCACTTTAATGTATGAACATGTTATTTACAGTTACTTACCCTAAAGTTATTGACCTGATACGAACCTATTGTCACCATCGAGCAAAGAAAAGTGTTTCTATCAATTTGAAAGCAAAGTGACGTGTATGCGCCAATGTTAAAAACTTAAAATGCATCACGGCTCCACTATTACGTACTTAAAGAGTTAGAAGTCTTAAAAGGCCACTAAGTAAGATCGCCATCCACGTGGAGCCAAGCGTGACACTATTATGTAGCTAAAAAAATATTACAACTCATTATAAACATGATTACATCTCCAGGCGTCAAAAGTCACGAAAGTTTGTGACTGAAAGTTGGAGATAAAAACAGTGCCTACTTCTACTATGTGGCCAAGAATAACAGAATATAAAGGCAAATGGAATAGTAGCTGAAACGAAGGATAATCTGCAATTTGCCAGTGTGAATAATGATTCATTAAGGCTTTGATGCATATAATCTAACTTACTTTTATTTCTAAAAAACTATAATACCAATTTCTTCTTTTTATATGTAAAATGTAGAGAAAAAGTACATATTTCATTAAGGCTTTGATGCATATAATCTAATTTGCTTTTATTTCTAAAAAACAATAATACTAATTCTTCTTTTTATATGTAAAATGTAGAGAAAAAGTACATATTTTTAGGAGTAATCGCATAAATAATATTAATCATAAACATAAACTAAAACAAATATCTCAAATAATCAAAATAAAACAATGAATTTATATGAAATACCTAATTAATACTCATAAAATGGTCACATGGACCCTACAATGCTATAATGCATCAATCCACCCCCTAAGTAACCTCATCCCCGACGTTGGCATACCGATGAAGACAATGACGAACGGTGGTGATGGCTCGATATGCTGACATTTTCTAATCGAAATAGAGGTTAAACTCCATAAAATTTGGGATAATATGATATTTGTCATATTCTAATTTAAACGAGTAAAGTCTCTTTGAGTCCGCGAATAACACTCCTATATTTGAATACTTGGTCAATATTCGACATTGTTATCTAAATCAAAAACATACTCAGATCCGAATATTGAGGGAAACCAATATTATAAGTAACAAGAACAAAACTAACACCAACAACATCCTCTTTTTCTTATACGAAGAAATTGGCTCACGTATCAAATCTTGACAAGAGTTCAACCCATTTCTTTTTTTCGCACAGTCTGTCAAGCATCAAAATCTTAGCAACCCAATCGAGCTTGGTTGAACAACAGGTAATAACGAAGATACATGATAATAAAATGCATAATATTAAAGTTTGAATTATTGTTCTTCCTACGTGGGTATCCGTTGTGTACTTTATTTGCTGAAACATTGACATTGTATATATCCAACAGCAAGAAACCACTATTGTCATACATCACCACTAACAAAAGATTAGTTAAGAAAAGACAATGTTTTTAGCAAAACAAAAATTTAGAAGGGGATATGATGATATTAGGAACAAGGAAAGGGGAGACAACATATGAATAAGGGGATAGAATTAGGCAAAGTGGGGAAGTGCTCATCTACCAGAAACAAACATTCTTTCATGTGACACAGAATAGTAAGTTGACATTTTCCAATTGTGAAGTAGACATGGAAGCATAACTTTTTTCTCCCCCCATTTCTTCCCTACCAATAATTCATTCCATGACCTCTTTCTCTTTTGTGCCTGGTGCTTATTTATATATAAAACATTCCCTGCCTCACCAGTTGTCTTCTCTTCTCATTCCATTCCTTTAAACTAATTAATTAACCATTTCATATATAATAAACCCCACAAGCTTATCTCCTTCTGCAAATTTGGAAGGTAGATAGCCATGATGATGAAGAAGGCCATAATCCTCCCATCTTCACTCCTGCTGCTGCTCCTTCTCATCACTCCCAAATTCTCCCTTGCAGTCCCTGCCACCAGTGAGTTCTTAATTCTCTCTCTCTTCCTCTCTCTTCTCAATTAAAATTTTCCCATTGTCTCTATTCTCTACTATTATCTCTGTAATTTTTTTGTGTGTGTGTGTAGTCACTCAATAAATACAAATCCTTGATTGGATTAATTAATTATATCGATATTGGTTGGTTGTAATAGGAAGCTTCATCATGGATAAGATAACTGCAAAAGAAGAAACCCCATCTTCCTCAACACCAACAATCCATGTCCTTGAGGTCATCTCTCTGCCTTTCTTTTGCTTGTAAACAAAGAATCACTACCCAAAACTCTTTTGCGACCAAAGGGTTTTGGTGATTTCTGGGGGTGACCATTTTTTTGTGGTGGCGAAAAGGTTTATTGTTGTGAAAAGTAGTGAGTTCCTAAAACTTATGTATTGAATTTTGCAGGGAGGAAAATGGGTGGAAGTTGTTTTGAGGGAGGAGGAAGGAGGAGAAGATATTGGAAGTTATGACTTGGAAGGAAGGATGGATAGGGAAGAGTTCACAGATTACCCAGGGACTGGGGCAAACAATCACCATGATCCTAAAACTCCTGGAAGAGCTTGATCAATTTGTGTATTCACATGGTTCATCATGAACCATACAATAATTAGATCCCCACAGCCAAAGAAAGGAGTAAAAAAAAACCCTACAGTTATATATTTTTTTGACTGTGGGAGCTGGTTATCTCTCTGTGGGGATGGGAATGTATAAATAATCTTCTTTGTTTGGTGGTTTCTTAAGCTTTATGAACAGCTTAGGTAGTATAGAGTAAGTATTATTATTTTGTTGTGTTTTTTTAAAGCCTAATAACATGCCTGATTTTTTTTAGAAGCAGCTGCTGCCTCTGCTCTTTTTTTTTTTTTTTCACTCCCACTTCTATCATTGTTCTTGGTGTTCTAGTTTACATGATTGTGGTCCGGAAAGGGAGGTGAAATTTTGCCGTATGGAAAAAATCGATGGGAATTGGGAAGAAAGCGGGTGTGTAAAAATAGCAAGGGAATACCGTATTTAGCAAGATTTTTATAGGTGATATAAAAAAAAATGATTGAACAGTTGTAGGGACACATTTATTCTTTTGGATATGATATAAGTGGTTGGTCTTAGCTAATCAATTCGTAGAGCAAGCATATAACACGTCGCAAACAAATAATCTTATAAATACAATAAATGAAATATGATTAGTTACGATCAGTGATATGGGGATTGGAATCGTTGCTAAAGCTCAAAAGTTTAACAAGATGAGCTCTGATTTTTATCTGGTCGTCTTCAACCTTACACCAACAAGGTCATGTACTTGTTAGAGAAGCAAACACAAGATAGAGGAGAATACGTAAGAAGAGGAACATGTACACATAGATTTTTGTTAGCCGAGTTTGGCCAATTACTTTATGTCTCAGCTCAAAAGTGGCTCACCCTTTGAGACCTAGTATTTAGGTTTTCATCTTATTCTGATCTAATTCCAAATTGAGTTCCTTTACGTGAAACTCAAACCCTTGATAAGAATAGAGCAATATTTCCCAAATTGAGTTCCTTTTGCGTGAAACTCAAACCCTTCACAAGCACTCACGCTAAAGAAAGAAACTACACAATCTCACAAACAGTCAAGCAATACAGAAAATGAATACCTATAATTTCTTACACCTATTGCTAATCACAAAATGTTTGCTCTTGCTTTGTGTAGAATTGCTCTGCCACATTCTGTAAGGCTTGTCTTGTTTCTTCCTCCGATTTATACTTTGTCTTGATCCAACGATCTTGTCTTGATTTTCTTTTAATTTGTTTTTGATCTTTCTTTGATTTAGGAGATCCCGCGATCACACATTTACAACTATAACAAATCGTAGGGATTAGAGGGACTTTACCTTGGCTATTACCATTTTGCTAAATGAGTGCATAAAGGGAAACCCTTTCTTTTTACTAACAATCTCCCCTGCTTTTGTTTATGCAATGCTTAATTTCTCAAGGGATAAAAGCCATAATAAAAGGTGTTAACTTGATTTTAATAGAAACATGTTCAATACTTATTCCCCTTCAACAGATCAACCAAAACTTCCTAAGAGCTAGCTTCTTATTCTCCCCCATTGGTGGCTGGGATCTTAAAGATGGCTATAGGGAGAGGTGACAATTGGATCGGATTGGTGGATTGGTGGATGCATGAATCAAATGGATTGGATCTAATGGATTGGTGGATTCATGGATTGGATCAAATGGATTGGTGGATTGATCCATGAATCCAAATGACATCCAAGGCTAGGACCAAAATATAAATTTTGAAAAGTTTAGGTACTAAAATGTCATAATGAAAAATTTTAGGTACCAAAATGTAATTTTCCAATGATATTTTTCGTATAAAAATATAAAATTTAGGTACCAAAATGTAAAATATAAAAAATATAGGTACCAAATAGTAATTTGTCATTTGGATCATTGGATTTATCCATGAATCCACCAATCCAATTGGATTTGGATAAAATGGATTGGATTTAAATGGATTGGATTAAGTGGATAATTTGGTGGATGGATTGGATTGGATTCATGGATTTGGATCCTAATTGCCACCTCTAGCTATAGGTGCATGTAGGCTCAAGAATGGCAGGAATAGAACAAGAGGCAGACTTATTATCAACAGAGTCCCCGTCAAGGTCAAACCCAATCAGAACAAGAAGCTTTGTGACAAAGTTGGTATTGGGAAAAGTATGGTTCAGGAAACCGTACCGGAAGTGATACCGAACTTGTTTGTGGTAAGGTATTTTGTGGTATGACTGTGTTCAACCATTTTGTATTGATAAATACCATTTTTAATCGTAAAATATTTTTTTTTCCGTAAAAAACCATACCAGCCAAAACATGATACTATTCAGAAGTAATACCAAAATGATATCGAAAAATACCGGATATAAATAATTTATTAATAGTATCATATAATAAATTACACATTAAATAATTTAAATTTCATTTAAAAAAGATAATAAAAATTAAAGTATAAATCCTCATGTTTATTATCTTATACCCACCGTTCATAGTGATGGCAATGGGTCAGGAAGGGCGGGAAACTCAATACTCATGTCCCGCTCCACATTATTACTGGTCGTGCCGGGTAAAACCATTTTTATATGTTACCTGAAAAAAATACACGCAAATTTTACTTTTAAAGCGAAGGAGAAAATACTTTATGAATGAAAAAATAGTGATAATAGAATGGGTAATGGAGTCTAACAAATTGAACGATGGACTCTAACTAATTGAGAAAAGCCAAAATAGGAGAAATATGTAAGAAATTAAGATTAAATAGGTCAAGAACAGGACGAGTCGAGCGAAGTAGGCCAAAAGTAGATACACATGCTCTGTCCCATGCTACTGCGGGTCTGGTATTAATATTACCCACCCCTTCACGGATAAGGTCGAGTAATACTCGCAAGACGGGTTCAAATTGCCATCACTAATTGTCCACCTCACACCACCCACGACTTCTCTTCCAAAGAAGCTCCCCAATCCCCACTAACAATTAAGCAAAAAATATCTCACTAAACTCTTTCTCTCTCCCTAGTTATCACCTCCCCATTCAACCAGGACCACACCGCCCGCCTCTCCCTTCCACAGAAGTTTTCGGTCGAGCCCCTATACATTTCTAGTATGGGGATCTAGCGGTCGAGCGACCAAGCCGATGAAAAGCGACCTTCTCCAATCGCCTTGGTCGATCGGGATGGAGTGGCGGTGACCGCAAATGGAGTAGTGACCTCGGTCGGAAGACGAAGAATGTTGAATGGAGCGGTGGCGACATCCATGTGCAGGAGAGAGAAAATACGAAGGGCGCTGGACGCCTGGAGTGAGAAGAGGCAGAATGCATGGATGCCATTTTTTTTTTTTTTGATAATGGTGATGATTATATTGATTAAACGAAACGAAAAACCTAGTCCACAACAACTGCAATCCAAGGAAAGAAAAAAGCTTGCACAAGAAGTGCAAGCACCAAAAGGAGCTAGGCAAACCCGGATGCCCCTGCTCTCACAAAACGAAAAAGAGGAGAAAGAATAAACAAAATAAAAGGACAGCAAGCACAGCAGCAGACAACAACGAAACCTCTAAGGGACCAGGACAAAAGACAAAGAACAAAACCCATGACAACAGCAGCGCAGCGGCAGCAGGGCGCGCGACGCGACCATCACATCGACAAAGGAAACCTACAAAGGCCGACCTTCAGCAGCAAAGAAGACGAGATCCATCACTGATTCCGACCAGGCCACATCCACTGCGTCCCTTGCGATCTGCTGATCTTGCCATGAGCCACGAGCCATTCAACAATTGCGTACATCGCCTTCCTGAGAACCGAGGAAGCGGGGATAGCTTTATCTTCGAACAGACGGCGGTTCCTTTCCAACCATACCTGCCAGCAAATCGAATGGAGGGCACAATAAGCAACCCACTCGTGTGGATCAGAGGGTTGCTCCGCCTTCCAATTGTCAATGATGCTGACGATATCGCCGCAAGGAACCATCTCAATGTTACACCTCTCTTTCATCTCGTTCCAAATACATCTCGTGAAATCACATCCCGCCAGCAGGTGATCAATGGATTCCGAGTCTTTAAGGCACAGGCAGCATCTATTCGCCAATGACATTCCTCTTTTCTGAAGATTATCAAGGGTGAGGATTCTTTTGTGCGCGACAGTCCACAAGAATGCATTGATCTTCGACGGGATACATTTCCTCCAAACTGAATCAGCCGGGAACTCCGGCAGCCCCGGGAACAAAATGTTCGACAGGTACCTGTACAGATCAGAAACAGAGAAAGTTTTTTCCGGATTTGGGATCCAGACAAGCCTGCTAGGACCACAAGCAATCTTACAAGGATCAATTAAATCAAGAACACTCAACAACTCAACTCTTTCACTCTCCGCACCCCCTCTTAATCGAGAATTTAAACCAACATTCCAATTAAGGTTCTCACCTTGAAATTCTGCGATATCAGAGATCCAGGCGCTTCGCTCCGAGGCTGCAGCGGCTACTCGAGGGAAGGTAATGGCAAGAGGCCGGTTCGAAACCCAGCAGTCATCCCAAAACGACACCCACGCCCCACCGCCAGGGTCCACTCGCGCGACCCTCCAGAAAGTATCGTACCCCTTAGTAATATTTGCCCAGGCAGACATTCCAAATCCACTTCTACATCTCTTACTTTCCCACTCCGATGAGCTCGACGGGAACTTAACCAAAATCAATTCCCTCCACCATTTGCCCCTCTCAACACCAAACTTCCACAACCATTTACAAAGCAAGGCTCTATTACAACTTTTGAGATCCCGAACTCCAAGTCCACCATCGGTCTTTCTTGCCCTACACAGATCCCATCTAACCAAAGCACCCCTCTTACTGTCATCTGTTCCACACCAAATAAACCGTCTCTGTATTCTTTCGATCCTGTTGAGCACGGAGCAAGGAGCACGAAACAGAGTGAAATAATAATTGGGCTGGCCGTTAAGAACTGAATTGTTAAGAACTAACCTTCCTCCTAACGATAGAAACCTGGCCTTCCACCCTTCGAGTCTCTTTTCAAATTTATTGATGATAGAATCCCAAGTAGATGCTGAGTTCACCTTCGCACCAAGGGGAAACCCCAAATATTTCGAGGGTTCCGAGCTCCACTTGCACCCAAAAATGCTAGCAAAAAAATCTGGATTAGGAACGTCTCCAACCACGAACATGGTTGATTTTTCCAGGTTGATCTGCAATCCCGAAACCGCCTGGAAACACACCAACGTACCCAAAATGTTTAGGACCTGCTCATAGGATGCCTCACAGAAAATCAGCGTATCGTCCGCAAAAAGCAGGTGAGTCACCTCGCCTCTTCCATTCGACTCATCCATACAGAAGCCCTTAATTTTTCCATCATCACGCAGCTTGGATATAAAAAAAGACAGTACATCCATGATGAGAACAAAGAGCCCTGGAGAAAGCGGATCGCCTTGCCGAAGGCCCTTTTCCACAGGAAAGAAGCCTTTGGCTTCTCCGTTAATCATAGTAGAGATGGTCGACGAACACACCGAACCCCGAATCCACTCTTGCCATTTTTGAGGAAACCCCACTGCAGTCAAGACATTAAAAAGACAACCCCAACTCACGTTATCGAAAGCCTTCTCGATATCCAACTTAAACATCAATCCAGGTTTTCTGCTTTTAATACGACTATCCAGCAGCTCGAACGCAATTAAACCTGCCTCCGCAATTTGTCTGCCTTTCACCGAAGCATGCTGATTAACCGAGACAATATTATCAAGAACGTTACCCATTCTCTCAGCTAATATTTTATTAATTAACTTATTCAAGCTTCCCAGGAGACTTATAGGTCTGAGATCCTTAATTTCTTCTACCGCATCCTTCTTTGGCAGCAAACACAGAAATGAATGAGTAGCGCCCTTGTGCAAATAACCGTTCCAATGGAACTCCTTGAACGCTTCAAGGACTTCCAGTCTGATCAAAGGCCAACACTTTTTGTAGAAAGCCATCGAAAAACCATCGGGACCTGGCGCCTTCGCCCCGTCGCAATCAATGATGGCTGCCCAAATCTCTTGTTCCGAGAACTGCTGCACCAACCTGCCCTTATCATCATCACTGATGGACCAACCCACATACCTGCCCGGAAATGGCCTTCTCCGCATAGATTCCTTGAATAACCTTTGATAGTAGCCAACAATACCATCAGCGAGCTGCTCTTTGCCTTCAGTCCTTACGCCATTAATCTTAATGCACTCGATCAAATTCATCTTCCTTCTATAATTCGCAACTTTGTGAAAGAACCGAGTATTATTATCCCCACATTTGTTCCAAAGCTCCTTAGATTTCTGCCTCCAAGCAATTTCTTGAAGATATAGAAGTCTGCTAAGCTCAACCTTGCAACTCTGCATATCGACTTCATCTCTGCCTTCGAGAAAGAGAGATTCCTCCTTCTCCTCAAACGATTTAATCTTGCATAAGAGAACCTCGATTTGGGATTCAATATTACCAAACACACTTTTGTTCCACTCTTTCAGTTTGAGTTTTAGCAGTTGCAGTCTTCTTCCCCAAAGAAACACAGCCCCGCGCCCTTCGACTGGTAATTGCATCCACTCTTGAAGACCCTGAAAGAAGCGTTCATCCTCCAGCCACATGTTCTCAAATCTCCACGGTCTCTTAATCCTTGAGCAACTTCCCCACTTAATAAGCAACGGGCAATGATCCGATTCCACCCGTTCAAGAGCAGAAAGGGTGCAATCCGGAAAAAGATTATCGAAATCAGAAGAGATGAAAGCTCTATCAATGCGAGATAGGGAGCGCGAGCCTTCCCCTCTACTCCAAGTAAATCTGCTTCCCCCAAGAGGTAACTCAAGCAAAGCATTACTGTCTATACATTCGTTGAACGCCTCCATCATCCTGTCACATCTTCTCGCCCCAATATAATCTTCGTGGCTCCTAACAAGGTTGAAGTCCCCAACTAAACAGGGTTTAGCCTAGGTTAATTCGGATTATAACTGGATTGGTTGTGAATGACTTCCCTTAGCTTAGTTAGTTGGTCTTGAGTCCTAGTTGGTGGACAAGGTGACCATCCCCTGCCAATTAGGAGCTTACCTAGGTAATGATTGGTACTCAAGTTTGTGACAATCGACTTGAAGACCTTGTGTGCAGATGGGTGAAACCCGTTTAGAGGAGATAGGACGCTATCCCTAGTCACTGAACCCAGTTGAAGTGACATTGGATCATGCGGATGTGGCTAGGAGGGGAACTAGTGGCTTGACCATTGCATTGTTTTCCATTTTAGTGATCTTCGCACCTCAATTACCTTGAAATGCTATACCTGTTGATTGCATGTCTACTCGATGTTAGGGCGAGTGTGGTTTGCCCCGAGTTTTATTCTTTCCATTATTGTCTCTATCGTTAAGCAATTCCTCAGTGTCAAAAGCAATCAACTATCAATTAGATAACAATATAATGTAATAAGAGTAGGCTAGGGTATCAATGATCTCTGGGGAATACAAATGTGCCGCTATACTGCAAGCCTAACAGTGGTGCACTTGCCATTGCCAAGGTTAGTAGTTGGTGATTATCGTTAATTAAAGCTCAATTTCGTGCAAGCAAAGGAAAAGAATCAACGACAATTAATCTTGTGTCAGAGACAGACTCCAAATTGCCATACAAGTGGTCAATAATCGAATTGACCCACTTCACTCATAACCCTCCCTTTTGGATTCGATTAGGAGGAAAGTAGCTCGAGGTTGGTTGGTTCGTACGTTCATACATATCGCAAAAGGAATAGAGTTACAAACTGACTCTTGAAGTACAATCTCGTCTATCCCTATGGTATGTGTGAACTCGCTAACTCATCGATTAAGCTGGGAAAGATTCTTCAAGATTATGTGATGGGAATTTGCTTTGAGCGCCCAATGTTGGTTCGACCCTCCCTCTATCCTGCTTCTACTTCGATTCAACCCCTCTTGTTACTTCTTGGTTGTTAGCCTCCCATAATGAAAAACAAACAAGACTAATTTATCCCTATTGAACCTTCACCACGAAATAAATTGTTAAATCATACTCACAAATAACAATAACTAAAAAAAATTAGAAAAATAAAAGAATTAAAAATGTTCCATTTGTTTTTCTTGTTATTTTGCAGTTGTTCTAACAGAAAAAATGTGAATAGTAAAAGAAGCTAAAAAAAGCTAAATGAAGGAAATAGATAAAACTAAATATGTTTAACTTACAAGGAAAATGAACAAATAGTCTCTACCGAGGATATGTGAATTGCAAATATGACATTCTAACTTGTTTTTAGTTTTCAATCTACCTTAGAAGTTCTTACTTTGCCCTCACAATCCAGAAAAGATGAACTCAGGGCGTTCTTATGCGCCCTGTTTCATCAAAACAAAAATATGAACCAACCTCAAACACAAATTTTTTTTGCTAACAACATTACCCACAATTTCGTTTACCTAACTTTTGAACTATATCCTCATCTTTTTACTGCTTAATCTTCATGAATAAATGATAATCCTTCCCTCCTCTCCCTAATCACCACGGTGGAAAAATAATCTCATCTCTCAAAATTTACCCTTTACAATTGAAATAAAGGTAGAAAACTCAGAAGGAAACAGGTAAAAATGATTGGGCAGCAACCCGACGGAGAATCAAGAATAGGCAACATAATTTTGCTGGTGGTTTCATGCTTAGTCGGCATTCTTGTCTCTGTTTCCCTCGCTCATCTCAATGAACTCACCGGCAGCGGTAGCAACACCGCCAAATCGCCTCAGAAATCGCTAGTCCCGCCGTCGACGATTCCAAACAGCTTGTCTCTGTTACCTCCAAATTCCAAGATCGAACTGGAAAATGTATGCTCCTTCACCGATTACCCTCCAACTTGCAAGGCCTCCCTCTCAACGATTTCCCCTGCTTCCGCCATTGACTATGCGACCTATGCCGTCAATGCAACACTACAGGAAGCCACGACCGCACAATCGGCGTTCAATGCCGCCGCCCGCAGAGATAATGGACAATCGTGGCTCAAGGCCCATAAAATCTGCAGCGAGCTCATGGACTCAGCTGTCGACGACCTCAATTCATCACTGTTGATTCTAGCATCCGGGAATTTGACGAACGCTTCACAGGAGAGCTATTTCTCCATCATGAGCAGGCTGAGCGCCGTCGTCGCTTACCAGAGCACCTGCCGCGACGCATTGCGTATGTGCGGCGGCACGAGGAAAGTCAGGACTCGGCTCGGAAAACCCATCAAAATGACTAGCAACGCGTTGGCGATCATAAATTCCGCTTTCAATCGATCTTCTCAACCACCTCAGATCCCCGACGACGGCAACCTGGCCAGTGGTGCCAATTCTTTGCCCCGACCCGATGCGGTGGTTGCTGGTGATGGAAGCGGCAGATTCAGAACGATCACCGAAGCCCTATCGGCTTACAAACTCAACGAGCTCGGCCGCTACGTGATATACGTGAAAGCAGGGGAGTACAACGAGAGCGTGACAATAGCAAAGGACCGAGTCAATGTCTACATGTACGGCGACGGACCCGACCGGACTGTGGTGTTCGGGTCAAGATCGCAAGAATCCGGCCTCTTGACTTACGAGACCGCCACCGTAGCGGTTTTGGGAGATGGGTTCGTGTGTCGGTCGATGGCGATTCAGAACAGGGGGAAATCAGGGGGCGCGACGGTGGCGGTTAGGGTTCAGGCGGACAGATCGATATTTTACAATGTCACAATCGAAGGCAATCAAGCCCCGCTCTACGCACTGGCTCATCGTCAATTCTACCGCGAGTGCAAGATCTCTGGATCCACCGATCTAATTTTGGGCGACGCAGCGGCGGTGATTCAAGATTCGGAGATCCTAGTAAGTCCCGATTCGGGAGTGCCGGCGTATGGTTTTGCTGCCGTGACCGTGCAAGGAAGGGCAGAAAGATTCGAGACGACCGGGTTCGTGCTGCAGAACTGTACAATCAAGGAGATTGGAGGTGCGAGAGTGGAGATTGTGCTTGGGAAGCAATGGAGGAAGGGGTCGAGGGTAGTGGTGATGGAGTCGTACCTGGGAGAAGGGATTGCGGCAGAGGGATGGAAGGTGAGGGTTTCCTCCGCCGGCGGGGGAGACTTTGCGGTGCCGGAGAAATCGTTGTATGCGGAGTTTGAGAACTACGGGCCTGGAGCAAATACGAGCAAGCGGGTCCGAAGCTCCACTGTGATTAAGGAAAGGTCGAAGGCGGTTCAATATGCGCCAAACTTGTTTATTCAGGGGTATTCCTGGATTCCCCAGGCCGGTGTGCCGTACCAGGGAGGATTGTAGTGACAAAAAAAAAAAAAAAAGGTGTAGGAAGTGAAAATGTGAAATGAAATTGCTCTGCTGTAACTTGTAAGCCAAATTTGTGGAATAAATGAAAGTGAAACCTTTTGTGGAAATGGTGGGACCTTATGAGATTTGCGTGAATGTATACAAAAGTCATGATATGTGTGGATTTTATTTTTAACACTAGCTTTTACCCGGTTCGTTAGCCGAAATATTTTAAGTTATCGACTCTTATAATAAGAAGTAGTGTTGAAGCGTGATAGCATTTATTTTTTGAAGCTTTGTTTTTGCCAATATGGGTTGTCCGGATTGGAGGCTAGAGAAGGATCCATGAAATATTTCCCCCCCCCCCCCCCCGGTAATTCCATGAAAATATTTTGTCCCATTCGAAATCGTTTTGGCCTAC